TGATGCTTGTGGACTCACCAGCATCCATTTGGGGGGAGGGGGGGCGTATTAGAGGATATTTACTTTATTTACTTTCCATTTATATCCCGCATATAATTCAGGATTTCTTTGATTGTATAGCATACAATCTTTCCTTATATATCCTTGTAATATTCTATAAATTAACGGAAATACATACGAGAAGATTATTCAGCAAAATCGTGACACTTGATGATAATTTTCTTTGCTGGCATTCAACATGTTTGTTGAACTTGTTACAGAAACAAGCTACTTCTAATATTATGTACTTGTTTGAGTTATTAGTAGTTGAACAAGCCTCATCTTTTCATCCTTTACTTATCTTGCATGAGCTGTATGTGCATGATTGAGTAGTAGTACTAAACTAGGATAATGCGTATACTGCTAATGCACGTGTCTTAGGCAGGTTTGGAATAGGTTGATACCAGATGCGATCTTATTTTTGGTGTAGTGGAGAAAGGGTTAAAAAGGAAGTGAATACCTCAATATTTAAAAGTTTTAATATGTTACTGAGGCGAGGCATTAGTGTTGAGATACTTTGTGGCATAAGCCTCAAGACAAACCAATAAAATAATTCGAAAGAATGTAAAAACACAAAATTATCCTCATAATATATGACAAATCATCTTAAGAAATTATGGTCTCTGTTTGAGCCACATTAAAATTTTTAAGACCCATGTTGGTACAGTGGGGACAGTACGTCGTCGATCTAACGGCCATGACAGCCCGTTAAGTGGGACCCGGGTCGTTACATTTATTCTCATTCTTTTACTCATTTTCAACCACACATTCTTCAATAAAATAATATTTTCTATCACATCAATAACTTTTCCTTCTTTTTTAACTACACATTTTCCATCTATCTACTATTCCAAAATACATTCTTCCAAAATAATGTGACTCAAACACATCCATGATAAAAATTGATCAACAATATAAAAGTCTAGCCCGACCTTTATGTTTGAGCTATTATATCATACAGTAACTTTGGGTGGGCATCTGTCCACTTAACACCTCACGGATTTCTATCGCATTGTCTAGGATTCAAACCCAAGATCTCTACCTAATGAGAGACTTAGGTTAAACTCTAGTACCAATTGGACTTGTCCAATTGACTTTTTTTTGTAATGACCCGGATCTCTATACCTAAGCCGTTAGCTTGCATACTGTTCTCTTTGAGTAGGTCTTGCTCACTTACCCTTCACGGATTTCTATCGCGTCTCCCAATATTCGAATCTAAGACCTTTGCCTAATAAGAGACTTAAGTTAAATTCTAGTACCAATTCAAATCTTGGGGGACGCGATAGAAATCCGTGAGTGGGTGAGTTGGCGTAGGCCTACCCAAAGCGGACAGTACGTAAGTTAACGGCTTGAGTATAGAGACCCGAGTTGTTACATTTGTTCAATTGGTATCAGGATTCAACTTAGGTCTCTTATTAGACAGAGATTTTGAGTTCTAATCCTAGGAGACGCGATAGAAAGTTTTGAGGGGATAAGTCGGCATATGCCCACCAAAGCGGACATTACGTAAGTTAACAATTTGCGTATAGAGACCCAAGTCGTTGCAATTACTACTAACAGGATCTTGAAAGAAATCATCTACCCCATTTGGTTCATCTGTCTTCTTCTTAATCATTATTTGTTTTTTTTCCCCCTACTTGCAATGGTTTATTCTCCTTTCCTTTCCCTTCTATGTGAAGGCAGACATAATAAGAAAAAAAAAATGCCGGTTAAACATTCTAGGTTATAAAAAATAGTCCACAAGGTTAAGGCCAAAAATAGAAAATGAAAGACTGGACTTACACTTAAGTCGCCTTGAGGTGTTAGCCTCTCAAATGGAACTTAAGCATAAGCTTTGAGACGTTCAATGAAATCCTCACATGAGGCGAGATTCGCGGCATAATCAGTAAATAGTTATTTTAAACAATGGATTACCTTAGAATATACTGATCTTCCAGACCTCTGTTAAAAATTTCTCAATTATTTTTATTTTGGGTAAATGGATAAATTTGGTTGTCCTTGGAGGCTAAGGGGGTGTTTGACACCCATTTTTGTGAAATAATGTGTTTTTGAATATTGATTGATGGAAGAAAGTGTAGTTAAAAAGTAAGGAGAATTTTTAGGTTTATGTGTAATATTATTTTATTTGATAGAATGTGTAGTTGAAATGAAGAAAGAGAAAAAGAATGAGAATGAGAATGAGAATGAGAAAAAAATGGGTGCCAAACGGGGGCTAAATGTGACTAACTTTATTGTCAATCCTTCAGCAATATTATCTCTGCTTTTCTTTTCTTTCTTTCTTTCTTTTTTTTTTTTCAATGCAAGCAAACCTAATTTCTTTGCATGATGAGTTGATGTGGTAACAAATTCTATTGCATGAGTTTACTTCTCTTTTAAATGATCTTAGTTTTTCTTCATAACATTAAAATCCACAAACTGTATGTTTCATGATCGTATGATTGATTTTTTCTTTTTAGACCATGCCCTTTATACAAGCTAGTTGGCATCAAACATTTTTCTGTCCTGCTGACTTTTTTTGAACAGTTGGATATCTTTCTCAGGCAATACTTGTCCAGAACTGTGGGAGCTAGCTTCTGGAGTTGGTTGGAATTTTATTACTTTCCTAATCTTTCTTTATCATGGATGGGGTTTTTGCTTCTTAGAATCTTCCAATCCATCAGTGGAGTACGAGTATAGTATTAAATGAATATGGTACATAAGCTATGATCTATCAGAGGAGTACGAGTATAATATTAAATAAATATGGTACATCAGCTCTCACTATACAATCTATCTCTCTATTCCCCCTCTCATGCGCTCACCATCTTCTATTGATGGTAATATGGCTATCATAACAGGTAATTAGTTATCATCAGCATTATTTGACTAGTTATGCTTCTTATTGTCATTTCTTGCTTGCCAGATATCTTGGGAGAGGTCTTGCAGAATATCTAGTTGGTTTCTCTAACACTGAAGATTCGTTGGTAAGAGTTTGTTAACTGCAAGAGGTACACTGTATATTGATTGTAATATAAAGAAAACCACTCATTTGTTCTTTTAAGATATAGAAGCGATCTTTTTCATGAGTTTTTTCCCTATTCCCCACCTATGTTTACTCAACTGACAACTCGTCTATGTTATTTTTAAGTCAAGCTCCCATTCTATGAGTTTACGCTTAATGCTAGTCCTGTTGCCTTTAATTACAAGTGGATTTAGCGGCTTTCCTTCAATGTATCCAAACCATCTTGATCAGTTCTCTTGCCCCAAAAAGTAAAAGTTTGAAACTAGAAACCAAGAAATTGATATTGATCGCAATTTATATTGTTTACTTTACCCTTTGCTCATGGTTATTTGAGTCCAAGATGAATTGTTGCGGAAAGTTGAGAAAACGAAGATGATTTTGAGCACTATTTTTTTAACGACTTTCATTTTATATTTAATTGCCGCCTTCTCTTTTTAGATGTTTCAATGCTACTTCAGATTAGTTCTTAACAATCCTCTTTTAGGACACCATTTTCATGAAACCTCACTAAAACAATACTTTTGTGCTCCTTAGATTAATTTACAGTACAGTTTAACTAACATACTCTGTAGCTCCCTCCTTTTTTTAAAGTCGTGGCAAAACTCCGGCTCTGCTTCGCCCTTCCTGTGGCCCTTTTGCCACCACCCCCACTCTTGCATCAACTAAGACCACCATTGCCACTTTTAACACTTTTCTGCCATCAGCCCACTGCTATGGTGTATAACGTTGTACTGTCATTGCTGCAGCTGTCACCGTCACCATCACCATGCAGTCTCCCTGAACAACCCCCACATATAGTCCCCAGATTCTTGACCCAAATAGGACACGGCCCATGGTTTCATATCACGATCTTAATGTATGAGTAGTGTTATTTGTCATCATGCTGATTGAGCATCTTGTATAGATGGCATTGAATGCTAAACCAATAGCACGAGTTTCATCTCCCTGCATTCAATTGGACCGATCATTTAATGCCACTATTTTGCTATACTGGGTGATGATCCATTACCATAATTACAAATAGCATTAATTTTGATATATTGAAATTATTTGAAAGGTTTCCACATATTTAAAAATTGCAGAGGCCTTGGATAACCAGATCTCTCTTCTTTTAGGATTGGTTACTGGGGACAACTTAAGGTTTTGGGGTTGAGGAGAATAGAAGGTATGACTATTATGACAGTGAAAGGTTGTGGTGTTGGGGGTTTGTTGCGGTGGTGCAGGGATATGCTTGTATTTGTTGCAGATTTGTAGTAAATGGAAAGCTACGAGTCTGTGTCCGTAAGCACGCGCGTGTGTTTGTGAGAGAGAGAGAGAGAGAAAGGAAACATGTAGACAACTGTTAATAGTTTGTTTTCTTTTTCCTGTTTAAGTTGGCATACTTGAGTAGTGGCAAAATTGGACAGTGAATCAAGTTGTACGCCTCCTGCAAAACCAATTCAATTCTTAGTTGGCCTTCTTTGTTAAATGGAGGGAGAGACCGCGTAAAAGGAATAATACTCTAAAGATGAAGTAGGATGGAAACAGGCAGCAACTCCTGTTCGATCTATGGTCTCTCCTCACATTTTTGGACTTGTGTGTAGCTGAACCCAAGCTGTTGAAAGTAAAACTAGCCATTACTGGTGCTCACCTTTTTAGTATAAAACTGTCTTCAAAGTTGATGGGCATCTCCACAAGTAGTAGCAGCTATGTATTGCAGAGCTTGGTTGAATTTCTTATGAGCTTTGAGCCATAATTTGTTCCGCCATTTGTTTTTTCTGTATCCAGGGGTGGACGCAAATGTTTAAAGTTAGGGGAGCACAATCGAACTTGCAAAAAAATCGAGGAGAAATTTTACGTCCAAAAAAATTATCCCATGTAAGTAATTTTGCATTCGAAAATTTACATGGGATATGATTTTTTCAGATGTAAAATTTCGAAAAAAAATGTATGTCATATTCCATATAAAATTTCCTAATAAAATGATGAAAATTATATTGAGAAATTTGTATTTCAGAAATAATAAATGTTAATGAAATAATTCAATTTTTTTTAAAGAAAATGCGAGTTAAACGCATTTCTTTAAAATTCACGTTTAACACGTTTTTAACTATTTTCGATATCTGTTTGCATTATTTGATATGCCTATAATACAGTTCTCGAAATGAGTTTTGAGATGGTGTAAGCAATTTGTAGATTCGATTAGTGTACGATCGTCGAAAAATTTTTAAAGTTAGTATATTATCGAAATTCTCGAAATACTAATTTTTAACGGCTTATTTTGACAAGTCATAGCATTTGCTACGATTAATCGTTTCATATGCCATTAACGACGTAGAAAACTGGACCGTGAACACTTCGAAATGGTATTAAGAATGTAATATTTCGTCCTTGTTTGATGGAGAGTTAAGATTTTGTTAAAAGGAAAGAGAAAAAAAAGAAAAATTAAAATTTATTGTGATTTTGCCCCATTTGATGGAGATTAAAATCAAATTTTTAGTAAATTTTGATCAAAATTAAATAGTTATGGATTCCATGAAATATATTATTAAAATTAATTGTTAACTTTGATTTAATTAAAATTTATATTTTAATCAAAAGTTGGGGGTACATGCCCTCGGACCCCTCTGGGTCCGCCCCTGCTTGTAAGTGATTGAGAAAATGTGTATAGATGACCGAAAATGTTTATCACTAAACTCTCGAAACAGTACTTGAAACATAATTATTGGTAGAAGATTGTTCAAAATTTCATTAGGTAAGAAAATTGATGAACAAACTATGACTACTATTGACCTCTTTTTTTTGTATCGGTG